ACACTACTTTATTAAAGGGGGACTTTTTTAATTTATAAAACTGAATTATTATTTTTTATTTTGGCTCACAAATATTGTCCCTCATACTGAAATGTTTGGAGACCACTGTCCTAATAGAGTCTGATAAATGTAGCCATATATACTTGCCAAGAAAAGGGCCGTGTTTCTTACTGTTCCTGTTAGGCCTTTTTATAAAAATGCCCTGTATACCCTTACATAGCTGTATGTCTTGAAGCTTTCAAGTTTGCAGGGAGGACATGGAGGCAGTGTCAGAAAGGCCCATGTGGGTCTAAGCAGTTGGTTGACATTTGCTGGAGCTTCTTTCTGAGGTTCAGAAAGAAGATTTTATAGCCCATTCACACTAAGCATCATTGAAAAGCTGCAGGGTAGTTGAAGAGGGGATGTTGTCCATATACCTGAATGATTGCTATTGACAAACTGTATTTCCCTTCATTTTCTTAATTTGGATCCTGTCTGCGTCGGTGCACGGACACCCACGCGGATGTGCAGTTCGGGTGAGCATACGGCCGCGTACTCCCATAGAGAAAGGCAGGCTGCTGCGTACAATCGCACGCAGCACCTGTCCTTCCTGGGAGCGGCCCGATACGGTTCTGCACGCCGCACAGATCTGTACGGGCCGGCTCTTAGTGTGAATGAGGCCTTAGGGAGATTATTGTGTATTGCAATTGAGTACATATTTTATTGGTTTATCCCAAAAGTAATATTTGCTATGACTTTAGTATTTTTATGCTTACTCCCATGTTTTTGTTATTTACATTAGATATAGACATCTTCTCACTGTCGAGATAAGACATCTGCTACTCCAAACTTCCCCCTTCGTTTTGGGGCAGGAGGGGGTGTGGCAAAACATTGCCTGCGTTCCGGTTCACTACGAATTCAAAAAATAGAGCATGCTGCATTTTTTTGCATTTGCAGTGGATCGGAACGCAGGCAATGCCTTGCCGCGCGTCTGATCGCACTGTGGGCGGGGGATGTGGCTGAGGCCGCTTCAGAACTAAGGGGGAGGTTTAGTAAGCGATTGCTGTGCGTTCCAGCAGCTACCGCTCTGGAATGCACTGCAATTTGTGTGAATGGGCCCTCAGGGTTAGTCCTAATGGTGACAACAGTGAACTATGCCTGTACAATGTGTGTCAACCTGATTTTCAACCTTCTACAGAAGGTACCTGCACAAGGATCTTAATGGGAGTATCTATCACCCGGTGGTACATTTTTTAAAAGCTGCAGATTAAAAATAAATAATAATTTTGAAAAGACTTTACCGTGTTAAAATGTATAAAAGATTTTAGTGATTGGGTTTACATATACTTTAAGGCCAGTTGAACAAACCTTGGTTAAACCTGCCTATAAACCTTAGGGGGTAATCTTCCAGTCATTTTGAGAAATGTTTTCTGAAGCCCTACGTCAGCAAAACTGAGGCATTTCTTAAGATATGTCTGACATGTTCACAAACGCCTGATCTCTTTGTAGATACAGATGGTGTTCCTGATACAAGACATTCATGTGACTCACACTTGAATTTTCTATATGTGTTATTTTTCTTTTGGATTTATATCAGTCTTGCATGGATTGATGTCATTTAAAATGCTATATATTTTGTCTGGGTGGGAAATTAAACTCTGGAATTGAGGTGATTTTCATTCTACATTTATCTGTTGATAAACATGGTAATTTGAAACTAACCAAATAAATGTATTCATGGGCGTATACATGCTTTAGATAGAAAGATTAACACCAGACCTTTTGCTACCATAGTTTGTATAATTAGATGCCCTTTTTATTGTTTATCTCCTAGGTGAAACTGGTATTGGAAAGTCCACATTAATGAACACACTCTTTAACACAACGTTTGAAACAGAAGAAGCCAGCCACTATGAGAATGGAGTTCGTTTACGACCACGAACATATGAACTTCAGGAAAGCAACGTGCACTTGAAACTGACGATTGTGGACACTGTGGGCTTTGGGGACCAGATCAACAAAGACGACAGGCAAGCATCAGAGATTGCACACAGGGCCGATGATAGTGAGGGTACAGCAAGCCTTCCCGTAGCGGCCCCCCTATAATGAGAGCAGGGGCAACTCGCACATTTTTCCCCAACAAGAACTCACTATGATGCTTGAGCAACTTGTCAACTACAAGTAATCTGGGCATTTGTACAGCCAACCAGATCACTTGTACTAGCCTGCCCATCTGTGGTTTTCAGGCTCCTCGGCACCTTTGGGGGGCCTGGCACCATGTCATATGAGCAAACTGAGGAAAATCTTTTCCCCAATCTGCTCTGCAATCAGTGAAGTAGGAGAACAGGACAGACCTAAAGAGAACCTGTCTCCTCCAAATGCTGTTACATAGGGGCTTGTTAAATGTTAAGTGAACCTGTTTGCGTAGGGCATGCACGTGTATGTAAACGGGACAGGAGGCCCTGCCAAGTAGGCTGTATGCGGCACCATGATTACTAAAGGCAGCCCTGATGGTGCAGTTTTGTTTGGTATATTTGGTATGGTAGGGTAGGAACACCAAGGAAAGTCTCAACTCTGAGTTAATTTCACTTTGTTGGTGGGGCTAAGCTCTCCCTGACATAATGGTTTAGCTCCAAAAATGTAATTCTATAATCTATTGAGAGAGCCCCAATATGCTGAAATTCAATTGACAGGGGAACGGCAGACAGCATGGCTTGGCCATGACTTTGGGGAAAGTCAATCCCAAAAAACAAAGGCTTTAACTTGTGAATGTATGTAATCACAGGCATCATATGGTGTCCTCTCTCAGACAGCACTTTTACTTTTAGACAACCTCTGTTGCAAAAAAATGTTTTTCGAGGACTGTATGTGGTTAGTGCAATTAGAGTATCCAGTATATTCATTCCTTTTTTCTTTTGCATACCTTTTGATTTGCGTGTAGATATTGAAAATGTTCATTTCACTACCCAGCTAGTTGTAGCTCCTATCTCATCATGTACTTTGCAGAGCTGGCAGTCCTGCATTGTACGTGAGATTGGCAAGGCCCTGCCCATAGCGTATGAGAGCACCAGTCATCTGAAAAAAGGTTCTATGATCTCGTAATGCTAAAATTTAGTTTTTTGGTAAGGTCATGTTTGACATAAGCCCAACCTACACATCCTAAACACACCATTATGCCCTGAAGCATGGTGGTGGCAGCATCAAGCTGCTGGGATGCTTATGGCTTCTGATAAAAAATCAGTGTAGCTGAAGGGCAGACAAACCCTCATGCAGTCCACAAGTGACATACGCCCCCACCCCTCATCTTTTCCCGCAGTGGGAGGTCTTTGGAGATGCAGAGAGCAGCTTTCACTTCAGAGCCACTCTCTGCATCAATGTGCTATATAGTTAAAGGTTGCTGTGGTGATGCCCCCTCAGGGGGTGGAGCCATTTTCCCCTACATTCATAGTATGTCCTCAGTCTTCCTGGCTGAATGATAGTCGCACCAGGAAGTGAGAGGGAATCCCTCCAAAAGGCGGGAAATCCCTGGCTGTCTGCAGGGTCACCAGCATTATTACTCAGATTTCCCATGTATTCCTGTTCTGGTGACAAACCAAAATTTTGGATTATCTTGCATTTTCAGTGATAACAGTCACCAGGTCAAATAGAGAGGGTGAATCTCCTTATCAGGTATGCAGACCGCAACAAAAACATGACAGTTGACCTAATCCCTCTCCACTCTATCAAAAAACAAAAATAAAGGTTTGGCTTCAGTTGCCCTTCAATGTCAGTTGGTTAAATCTCGAACCTTACCAAAGTCTTCTTTCCCCGTGAATGATCTGCTGCCGTTGGCTGCTTCTGTTGAGATGTGATAATCATAACGGACCTTTCATGTCTTCACATACTTGAACAATGCACTTGTTAATCTAAGTGACAACTATAGTAGGTATTTTCAGTCGGCCACAATCTAGATAGATCAAACACTGGTAGTCAGACAGCACTGAAATATTTTCTTCAACCTGACAAATGCGATTTCCTAATTATAGGTTGCAAGCTGTTACTGTTTTCCTGTGTGATTATTCCAGACACATTAGTGTTTTTGGAGGAACCATTTTAGGAATGTGTTGAACAGTGTTATAAACTAGATCCTTCGATAGCGTAAACCTTTAATGTCATGACACAAAAGGAACTCTCATTTCATCTGTTGTGTGCCTCTTAATGACAGGCTTTCAGACTGTCTGCTACTGACACTAAAAAAAGTACTTGTAAAAGGTCATGGTTAGGTGAACCTTTTAATAAGGTGCCTTGCTTACCCAAAAGCCAACCACCCATATTGGTAATCCACTCAGTTTGTTGCACAAGGCAAATCCTGGCGTTTTAGTTAGAAAGTGGATTCAAAGTGACTGTCACCAAAAAGTGGCATCAAGTAATTTAAATTCTTATGTGGGGCCATTTTTTCTTTCCATGAACCATTTTTTATTGACTTGCAATGTCACTTTGAACATTACATACTGTACAATCACATCAGTCCCTGCCCTCAAGGAGCTTACAATCGAAGGACACCATCTTGCTTGCATACATACATGCATCGGGGACCCCCAGTACTGCAAGGCAGAAGTGCTAACCAGTAAGCCACTGTGCTGCCCCAACAAAAACTTTTATGTAGCAGCTGGAGGAGGAGCAAAGGCAAAAAAAAAAGCCATTTACGTGACACTGAAAAAGGTAACAAAATGATTGCAAATGAAAGAAAATGTGAACTTTAGTGTTAGAATAAAAAATCAGAGTGAATTAAGGCTGATTATGGCAAACTGAGGGTTAATAGGGGATTGAATATGAGTATATTTTATTAACTTTTTTGTTTTGTTCTTTAACTGATGTCATATACAGATCAAGGATCACATCTTTAACATTGCTGCACTGTATTACTCAACGACACTTGCAGACTATCTGCAAGTGTCTGTTTTCACAGCAGCAGCTGCATTTTGACAGCCAGTAATAGCGGCGTGGGCTTGGCACCAAGGCTTTTTAGCCCCCTATGTGAAAGCTAATATACAATGACGGGTCCTCTTGATGAAGATATCAGGGGTCTCTAAGACCCCTAATGTCACCTCGGGACCCCAAAAGAAGCTGATGAACCAGAGCTATAGCAGCCAGAGAAATGACAGAGGCGGAAGTGATGTAATGCACATCGCTTCCACCATTAGAGGAGGAGAGATCAGCAGTGGGGAAATGTGGTATGGAAGTGCGTCCACCTGCTATGAAGAGTCCGCTGTCCGCCTCTGTTTTTACAATGAGAGGACGGCAACTGGTTAAATACAGCTACCACATCTAAGGACTTGTACTCTGCAAAATATTTTACATTTGACAAAAATATGACATTCCTCAATCCACTTGTATTCTGACGGCGCTGCCTTTGTCAGAGTATCTGAACAGTGCTTGCAGCCATTGATTTTCCAACATTTACCTTCGGCAAAAGTCGATCTAATGGTCGACTTCTGTCGAGGGCATAGGGCCAAATTAAATTATGCCAGAGTCCTGCTGAATTGGCTGAAATGTGTGTACCCAGCTGAACCTAGTTTAGGGGTAGTGGAGAGGATGCATCAAGAAATGAACATTTCATAGGGAATATTTTCTATTATAAGGTGCATGGAAGCGTGCAGCCAAAACATCTCTTGTCATAGGGATTTCAAAGTAAACGTAGATGTTATCTTTGTGCAGACAATGAAAAGAAAGGAGGATTAAGCAAAAATGACAAACCTGACCAGTTCAGCGTTGTCCCAGTCCCTGACAGATGTCTGTAAAGATAATTGTGCTGTGTACGCCACTTGCTTGTGAACAGTTGAAGCTAGAAGACTGCAGGCATACTATGTTTGTATACCCCCCTTGGGCCTCCATTGCATGGAGGTCAGTGAGGTGGTGAAAGTAAACCTTGACTTCTGCCCTGAGTTAGAGTTTTTAATTTTCAGAATATACATTATTCCTACAAATTAGAGCTTGACTTAAAGGAAGTACCCTTAGTTTTTTTTTTGCCGAATGTCAGTTACATTTATGTAATCTAATTAATTCCCTCTACCAAGCCAGGTGAGAGCCATATTTCATTTTTCTGTCATACCCTGTAATTAAACTAATAGAGGTAACATTTTTCTGTGCACTCCGAGGAGCCCTATTCTTAAGAAATATTTGAAATGTCTGGCGCACAGCAGCCAGCTCTGTGTCTGAAGGAGATAAATCAGGCACAAGTGTCTCTTGCATGCTTTCCAGTAAATCTTGGCTCTGGTATGACATATATGTAGCTTCCTATTCTGTATTGATACATGGACTTCCAATTCTTCGTCAAGATAAGTCATTAATACTGGGGTGTAAGCTTCTAATAGATACTGTGGTTAAATAGGCTTTTACCAGGAACTGGGACATTTATACTGAAAGAGGTGTCGAACCCCAAAGCATTTGTCAGCTATATTGTTGTAAAAGTGGCAGTAAGCCAGCACATAGATATCCCTCTTATTGCGCCATCCAGCTATCCAGGGTTTATTGTGACTGGGTGTGTTAGACAAAAAGTTTTAAAAAAAAATTCAACAAATATATACATGTGTGTACGTGTATATGAGCCGTGGGTAGACTTTCACTAATATGTGTGCACTGGACTGAGAGAATTGTAAAGCTGGGGGGGGGGGGGGGCGCGCTCTTGTCTAAATCATACCTATTGTGTGTGTGTGTATATGTATGCATGTGATATAGGGACCTTGGATTGTAATATATTCAAAACAAATGTATGTGGGATTTTTAAGGTGTCATGCTTGGAATACATCACATAACGTATATATCTATTTTTTAAATATTTATTGAAAGCACATCCTATCTAAAAAGAACATATGAAAAATCTACTACTGATAAAACATAAACCAATCACAGCTCCTATTATATTATTGGCATAACATCCCCCTGGACCACACATGCACGTTGTATATATCTGACCTCTATTTTTATCTGACCACTATTTTTAATCAAATTTCTCGTACATATCACTACATATTCCTTAATCATAATGTGGGTCCAGCCTTCAATGCGTTTCACCAAATCTTCTTCACAGGAAGACAGGAGGCAGCCTGTGATGTACACATGGTGAGCAAATACACAAATCAATACAATTAAACAGCTTAACCAATAAATGTTCACAATGTAAACAAATTGTATTTTATTAAATACAATTTCAGATGATTGGTTGTTACAAGGGACCTTAGTCCACAGTGCTACAGCCCATGAAAGGTCTTGGCCTCATGTAGGATGTGTGCCCATTGCACCTGACTACTTTCTTTCTTTTTCCAAAGTAGGTTTTAGCAGCCCAAAATATTGCATTAAAGGGAATGTATAGTGATTTTGTTAATTGTGGCTGGGCCAAAAAAAAACGAAACTTTTTTTAAAAAAGATTTTCATTTTTTTTCTGTTAAATATAAAATATTGCAGATGGATATTATGTAGTCTCTATTAAGTAGTATCTAGTGAGCAGGTGGCACTCTAAACTTCTTTTCTTAAAGCACAATTAAACTCTTCCCTTTTTTGCATTTATCTACTGCTAGCAAGCAGTAGATGTATACAAAAACATTTTTAAAAAAAGTTACCAAAAAGGTAAATACTTACCTCTGTCTCCGTTGCTCGCTTTCGTCTGAGGATCTGAAGCTCCTTGAGCGGCCGTGCGGGAGGAGAGACACAGTGGAGGTGAATGCACACAGCCGGAGCGTGCATGTCGAACAGACGCCGTGGGACAGGAAGAGACTGCAGTCTGTGCTGGATCAGAGACCGACACCGGTGCTGGAGGGGTTGCTGAATACATGTGGAAAGAAGAAGAAGATGATCGGATCAAGAGGCATCATTTAAGGTAAGTCCTTAAAGCTGTATGGGGGAGAAAAACATTTGTGACTTTAATGTCACTTTAAGTCTTCCTCTGGTTCACTTAAGGCAAGAAAACATACTGTAGAACGCTACGTGTGAGCATAACCAATACAATCCGTTAACATAAAAAAAAAAAAGCATCTGGAAAGCAGATCAAGATATACAGCGTGTACTGAATTGCAAGAAGCACTTATGAAAAGTAGTATTTTAAAGAAGGACTAATCTAGTAAATCATATCAACAATGGGTTCAAACTTAAATTTACATGCACAAGTGAATTGGTCAGAGGAATGATTTATCTTTTTATAGGGTGGCTCCTTTTCGGTTTCAGATAAGGTAGATTTTCCTTCACTTCCTGTTTTGATAGCCATAACAGGAAGTGAGAGGAAATCCCTGGTGGTCAGCAGGGTCACCAGAACTAGTGTCCCCATTTGAAGGTTCCCCTTCTATTCCTGTTCTGATGACATACCAAAATGTGGGATTTTCTTTCATATTTAGTGATGATGGTCACCAGGACAAATTAGAGAGGGTGAAAACTCCCTAATGGTAACAAATACACCAATATAAACCTGACAGTTGTTCAAATCCCTGACTGAAAAATAAAGACTTCTAGAGAGGACAGCGCCCAATCTGATTTTCTTCCATTTATGATCTATGTGCCTAAATGCGGACAGATGGCGATTTGAGTATGTAAAAAAAATCTCTTTATGCTCTTTCCATTCTTCGCTTTTCCTCTGAGGTCCCCTGAAATCTTTTTCTCAAGCCATATTGCACTTCCACAGAATTCCTTAATAAGCCTTTGAAGCAAATACCAAGATCATTCCTTAGGCTTTGCGGAGTTTTGTCTCGCATTTGTGTATGAAATAGTTCAGATTTACTGGATATGTTTAGTTATGTTTATGATGGCTGTAATTGCTACTTTTAAAGATAACAATGAGAGGACTATTAAATCCTTTCTTATTACTTCACATGGCTTTCCTGGTCCCGCTACTGTGTTCCTTTAAAGTTTGAACTTGGCTGAACTCTTGGGCGCGTGTTCTCTGCCCCTGCCCTTACTCCCATTGATGCCTCTGGAGGGAAAACGGTTAGGCGCTTTGGGTTAAAACACAGAAACAGCATTGTTTAGTAATGAGGTGCAATCAGACCCACACAGCCTCTTGGGCTTTTGGCTAATTTAACACTTTGTGGCCAGAAGACTATGGCAAAGCATATCTAGTAGTATTGCTCATTTTCTTACAATTGGCCAGATCTCAACTATATGCCCGGTTACATCACTGTTGTGTCATCTCCTATGGCCATAGTTCTAAACACCTTGTCTAGTATAAACAGGTTACTGGGTTTTTTCATCCTCACATGATGGTATAACCAAACAAGGATTGGTTATTTTATATAGTTTTAGAATATAGTTATATAATTTTTTATAGTTTTAATTCCACTGTTGCTAGATGGTATATAGTAAAATTTGATTATATGTATTATATACACACATGCTGATTGCTACTCTGTTACACTAACAGCATCTTTACATGGTGTCTTTGTGCAGTTACAGGTCAGTCGTTGACTACATTGATACTCAGTTTGAGAATTATCTCCAAGAAGAGCTGAAGATCCGGCGATCCCTTTTCAACTTCCATGACTCTAGGATACATGTTTGTCTATACTTCATCACACCAACTGGGCACTCCCTAAAATCTTTGGATTTGGTCACCATGAAGAAGTTAGATAGTAAGGTAATAGCAAGTCCTGCCTTCTTTTTTTCCTTTTCTGTAACTGTCCATGAAGTCCTTCATTCCATATGTTGCTTAATTTGTATAAAACAACTGCAAAGCTGTACAGCCGCAAAGCACTCAAGATCACTTTCATTCATTGACTTATATATGTGATGTATCTTTGCATAGAAATCCCTGTACTTGGGACTCGGGTCTACCACTTACTGTCGTTATTCTACAAAGGAGCTCACTTTCGCCTTTGAACTTATTTTACAGAGTTGTAATGCAGGACGGGAGGATCACTGAGACTAGAAGTGGCCATAGATGTTGTAGATCAGTCAGATGTGCAGTCATAAATTGATCATCCTGATTTTACATACAACTTGGCACTCTGATTTTACATACAACTTGGCACTCAGATTGCCTAAACATGACTGAATTGTACATAATAGAAGAGAGAATGCGGCCGGACACCTCCAGACTAGACTTTTATAGGAGGTTGATCCATGCCAGTGAAACGACAAAATTTTAAGAGACTATTTTCCCTGAGATCAGTCAGCTGGAGATTTGGAGATTTCTGCAGGTGTCCATGCAAATTGTCAGATTTAGACATGTGTGTGTCTGTGTGAGAGAGGGCACAAACACATTACCAGTTTTCTTGGATATATACATCCACAATAGTAAAAGGGCTGAGATACTTTCCCCTGGAGTTAGTGATGTTCCAAGTTTCCTCCACTGCTGCTCATGTAACCGAAAGCCTAAGTGTTTGCTCATGTGCTCTCTGCTGACAGGGTGACAGTGGCCACATCTGTCAGCAGCAGTCAACATTTAATCGTACATGGTACAATTACATTCAGTTTGGGATAGATGATTGTCCCTGGATGGAGATTTCCTGTGCCCAGGGACGATCATCTATCACAAACCACATGTAATATCTTGAGCAGGCACAGCTTCCTCATTTGAACAGGCACACCTGGGATTCCTGCCGCATGAATGAATTGGTTTTTGCGGCAGGAATCCCCGAACGCAGCACAAGTCCTCGTATGAATGGGGCCGTAGACTATATGAGACAGCTGTCAATGGGACCAGAAGTGAGACCCACTTTCTTCAATGGGGATACATTCACCAATTAACAAAAATGAAAAAAAAAATTTGTGTGTGCAGTGCAGCAGGATCAGAACCTCCTGTCAGGAGATTTTCTCTCCCTTCCTGTCCCATAAACAGTGGTCCCAGGACAGGAAGTGAAGCAAAATCTGCCCATCGGAGAACCCAAACGGCAATAAAAACCTGACGGATATTTACATCTTTATTTTTTCCTTTATAAAATATCTAAATTGATCAGTGCTGCAGTTGTGGGCCCTTTTTAAAGTAAACTTCACTTATGAACTTCTGTCAAAGTCTTTGTTCTCCTTGCTTATTAAGTTGAAAGCATAATAGATGTTAGGGAAGATGCAGTTGCACACCTCCCTGTTTGATCTCACCCAACATGGTGAAGAAGGAAGTTAACAGCCTACTAAGAGCTTTTATTGGTTAGATGTTACTGTAGCTGTTTACCATCAGATTGACTTGCTGTCAGCAGAGGAGACACAATTTGACACACATTGACAATAAAGTAGGGGTTTCTAGGCAGTGTGGATAAGATAAACAGACTGTCTTTGAAAAACACTGACCATTTATATTGCAGGGAGGAGAGGAGAGCGGAGGAACACTGTACCATTTACATAGCAGCTGGCCACAGGGTCTGTTCTCAGTTGTCTTGCTCCTACACACTTTATTCTTCACATGAATGCACCCTCCTACCCTGTACTTATCTACAGTATTCAGTTCTGTGTAGATTTGGCTGCTCTCTGCACTGTCATAATATTATATTGAATATATGTTCTAGTTGCAGTAAATTGATGAAGGGGGTTATTGCTGTCAGTGGGTTGATAAAGGAAATAATTATTTTTTTGAATGCCCTTGCCTCCTTTTGTATGTATTATATTTTAATTAGTTTCATGGATTTAAAATCTAAATTGAAAAACTGCAAGCTAATATAATAACCAAACTTTTATTTAAAATAACACATCAAAATTGGACAAAAAATTGTACCTACTTGTGTTTCAGTTGGTGTGCATTCTTACGCAGGGACTTTGAAAATGTATTTCTTCGCGCCGCTGGGCACCAGCTCTAAGGGGTCTGTGTCTCTTCCAACCCCTGCTAGGAGCAATCAAGAAGCCAGGGAATGATGGCTGCCAGTGGCAAGATTCCACAGACGGCAGCTGAATGTAAATACAGCAGTTAGTGGGCTGGTGCACTTGCCAGCCTGCTATAGGCCATTTCAAATTGTAATAACAGGCTGGCTATTGCACCCACCCACTGCTTGCTGTGCTCTCTTGTCAGCATGGCGGAGAGAGCTAGAGGATCCAAGCAACTAATCGATAATGGGATTAGTTGATAACTATTCTCATTATTGATTATAGTCAATTCGTTGGTTGCAGCCCTACTCTATAGCCGGTGCCATTCTGCATTCCTATATAATGTATTGCTGGGATTTTTAGTACTCTATAGCTGGTGGTGTTCTGCATTGCTATATAATGTATTGCTGAGATTTTGTAGTTTCTCTACAGCTTGGGGTCATTAGCAGAACTACCAGGATTGCAGTGGATGCAGCTGGGACTGGGTCTTGGCTCTCCTCTACTGTCCTAAAATCATTAGTCTGTATTGTTTTAGAAAAACTGTCATAAGACATTAAAAAAATAGGTATCAGTAATTGGGATCAGTGAGTACTTAGGGAAAAGTATCGATACTTTGTACTTGGTCTGAAAAAAAGGGTATTGGTGCCTCCCTACTGAAAAACAATATTAACATCCAGATAAGCGCACAACAAGCTCCCTTACATTTGTTGTGTGTGGAGAAGTGCTCTCTTAGATTTGTAATCTCTGAGAACAATGTTACCCTTACAGACACCTAAAGCAGCGGTTCTCAACCTTTCTAGGGCCGGGACCCCTTGGTAACATTTGCCAAGTTGTGGTGACCCCCAACGGTAAAATTTAGGGATGACGCGGCTGCTGCAGTGACATCTGGCGGCGTGGTGGGAGAACTGACACTGCTGCGCTAGGAGAGGGCTGAGGAGGACTCTCGCCTAGCACAGCAGAAATCACATAGCGACCCACAGGTTGAGAACCACTGACGTACTACATCAGAATAATTGTAAAAAAAAAAACACTATAGGAATGCATAGCTAGATTTCTATTGGCTATTTCACTTGGCAATAGCAAACTAGCTATTGCACCCGCCCACTCCTGCTGTCAATCACTAGAAGAGGACCTGATGGAGAACTTCAGGTCCCCCTCTGCTGATTGGTGGCAGCAGAGGGCGGGTGCAATAGCTAGTTTGCTATTGCAAAGTGAAATAGCCAATAGGAATCTAGCTATGCATTCCTATTGGGTCTTTTTTTTTCCTGACTTACAGCGGCCCCCAATGTCAGGGGGGAAAAAAAACGATCGCAGGGAAAGGTTTACTCTGGTCGATTGAGCAGAGTAAACCTTTCCGGGAGAAAGTGTTTCTCTCCCGGGCAGCTGGGAGCCACTATCTAATAGCGGGAGACTCCAGGGCGACCCCTGGCAAATCGTCATTCGCCCCCCAACAAGGTCGCGACACACAGGTTGAGAACCGCTGACCTAAAGGATCAATGGTATAATGCCACTGCCTTTGGCAAGTGATGTTAGCCCAGAACTATGCATGCATCAGATGGGATTGAACCCTAGTTGGAATGGCTTCATTAGATGATTGTCGCATGTAGTATGTCTATGGGCAGCTGCTGACCTATGCAGACCATGCCTGTACAGTGGACTTGAGGAAAAGAAACGCATTTCTAGAAAGGATTTTTCTGATCACTACTGTTCCTACAAGAGAACACACGCGCCAGGGGGTGGGTGTACACAAGGCGTGGACATGTATGATTGGCTGGTGCAGACATGAATGTTGAGACTATAATCATTCTCATTCATTGAATAGTAATATAGTAATTGGATCTTTCTACTGCCATCTTATGTCTACGGAAACTTTATTTGTTCTCAGCACTGGTATTTCTTGGCTCTGAGCTGAACTCTAAACCGCTCCACCCAAACATTAAATCTGACCTAACTGTAATCCCTTCACTTATTGGCTCATAAGGCTGACCTAGTTAGATAGTGTAGACAAGCGGTAATATAGCTGAGCTTAATGTTGCTAATACTGGGATCAAGTGCCTCAAAGATTAGGTATGGTTTCATTGCCATATGTCTGCGATGCTAGTGACTGCAAAGGGCCGTTAATGTCTGATCTACATGCAAAATGAATTCACACATGGACTATATGCATCAGCATATGCAGTTGCTATACTTGGCTTCTATTGTCCATAACATTCATGGAAGTTCAGCCCAGTGCACACATCTAACTGATTTTACAACATGCATATGGCAGAATCTGTTTTACAGCCTCTTGCTGGACATATAGATATAGAGGCCAGAACCAGAGCTATGCCTACTTATACACTGACCAAACAGATGTCACTCAGGTTTGTCATGCCTACAGTTTGATATAGATAGTTGTAGATAACGGGGGTTGTGTCCAGCACATAAGGGGTCCATTAACAGGTTAGACCTAATTTGCTAGATGATCAGCCCTGTAATTATTTCTTAAAATGATGGATACTTTGACATGAGTTTGGGCTTTAATGAGTTTGTCAGTGGCATTATTCTGTCTAAAGGCTCATTTTCTTAATCGCAGTGTCTAAATAATTTTCCCTTTTCTGTCCTCCTAGGTCAATATCATTCCCATAATTGCTAAAGCTGACACAATATCTAAGAGTGAACTCCACAAGTTCAAAATCAAGATTATGAGTGAGTTGGTCAGCAATGGCGTCCAGATTTACCAATTCCCGACTGATGATGAAGCTGTGGCTGAGATTAACTCTGTAATGAATGTAAGTAAAAAGGACATGGAATGGCAGGAAACTGAAAATATTAGCGGTTTGGCTAGCTATCTGTTCTTCCTAACAATCCATATAGAAAGAAAAATATACTCGGGTGCTGTGCATGCAATGGAATCCATGTCTCTCACATTACACTGGCTCACCTTTTAGTCCACCTGAATTACAGAACTTGAAACTCCTTGGTGGACTGTAAGGCACTGCACAGAAGTACTGCATACTTTGCAATAGTAAATGTGTTTAGGCCACATTAGAAGACCGCATAAGATAAATATTTTAGTTAGAATAGCTGGAGTAGCATAGTAGTGTAAGATCTAGTTAACCGAAAAAGAGCCCCTGTGCCCAGTGATGTTGGGCTTCAAAAATAGGAAAGTACATATAGAGAGGGATGTATGGATATAGAGCTCCATATGATGTCCTATATGTATCAACCTTCTTAGCAAGGCACAAATGTTAAAGTGTGTGTGTGTATATAAATGTATGTGCAACATCAGATAAGCCAAAATACACAGAATGATTTCAGCATTCCGCTGTGCGATCTCATTTAAGCCTGTAGAGGGTTGCATAGGGGCATAAGGCCACTCCTGTAATCTAACCACACTTCATGAGAAAAACATCATTGAATGCACCCCAGGTGCTGGATGAGGAGTCTACACACATTGGAGCCTACAGCATATTAGCAGCTTCTGAGTAGCAACAACACTCAGGAAAACAACCATTTGCATAGGGTTAGAATAGCGTTGTCAGCCCAGCACAGGATATAGGGACATATGCAGTTACACAGCAGGATCACCAGGTAATTTATTCATGTAATGAAAGACCATAAAAAGGAGCACACATTAATTGTGTATATATTGTGGGAACCTTGCACAGGAGAATTTATCATTTTTGCCTAGAGATGCACTTTAATCTTGCCTTATGCCTTTGGTTATTCTTGACATGCTTACCAATTTTATTTAATATTGTACATCATTCAGTGAATACGACCAGCATTGATTAGTTCTCTTGTAGTGCTCCACTGCTCTCTAGTGGCAAACATTGACTACTGAAGCTGGTTTTAGCTATGGTTCCTAGTCATTTCTCATTCTCAAGTCTTCTCAGGTACTTCAGCAAATGATAAGCTTATTAGAAGTCAATTACATAAAATTAACATACACTCAAAAAAGCACACTAAAGAAGTAGAATGGGGGGGATATACTAAAACTGGAGCAGACAAAATCTGTTAGGTTAAGCTTTGAAAATGAAAGAAGCTGATTGGTAACTATGCACAGCTGCTCCAGTTTTTGTCTGCTCCAGTCTTCGTAAATTACCCTCCTGTGTCTTGTTTTTTTGCAGTTAGGTTCTGGCGACTTAATTGCATTACTGGTCAATGGTGAATAGTACAGATTCCCATTATTTCTCATTTGTTTCTGGGAAGGCTGTCCACAAGGTTTAGGAGCGTGTCTATGGGAATGTTTGACCATTCTTCCAGAAGCGCATTTGTGGGTTCCGGTACTGATGTTGGATGAGAAGGCCTGGCTCGCAGTCTTCGCTCTAATTCATCCCAAAGGTGTCATATCTGGTTGAGGTCAGGACTCAAGTTCCTCCACCCCAAACTCGCTCATCCATGTCTTCATGGACCTTGCTTTGTGCACTGGTGTGCAGTCATGTTGGAACAGGAAGGGGCCATCCCCAAACTGTTCCCACAAAGTTGGGAGCATGAAATTGTCCAAAATGTGTTAGTATGCTGATGCCTTAAGAGCTCACTTCACTGTGATCTAAGAGCCCAAGCTCAACCCCTGAAAAACAACCCCACACCATAATCCCCCCCTCCACCAAACTTTACACTTGGCACAATGCACTCAGGCACGTACCGTTCTCCTGGCAAACGTCCAGACCCAGACACGTCCATCAGATTGCCAGACAGGGAAGTGTGATTCATCACTCCAGAGAACAAGTCTCCACTTCTCTAGAGTCCAGTGGCGGCGTGCTTTACACCGCTGCATCCGACGCTTTGCATTGCACTTGGTGCTTCTAAGGCTTGGATGCAGCTGCTCGGCCATGGAAACCCATTCCATGAAGCTCTCTGCACACTGTTGTTGTGCCAATCCGAAAGCCACACGAAGTTTGGAGGGCTGTAGCTATTGACTCTGCAGACTGTTGGCGACTTCTACGCGCTTCAGCATACACTGACCCCACTCTGTCATTTTATGTGGCCTACCACTACGTGGCTGACTTGCTGTTGTTCCCAGTTACTTCCACTTAGTTATAATACCACTAACAGTTGACCGTGGAATATTTAGTAGCAAGAAGATTTCACAGATGGACTTATTGCACAGGTGGCAGCCTATCACAGTACCACGCTTGAATTCACTGAGCTCCTGAGAGCGACCCATTCTTTTAAAAATGTTTGTAGAAGCAGGCTGCATGCCTAGGTGCTTGATTTTATACACCTGTGGCCATGGTGGTGATTGGAACACCTGAATCCAATGATTTGGAGTGGGGTCTCAATACTTTTGGCAATATAATGTATTTAGATCTCAAGTTTATTTTACATTTTAAACTTAAAAAATATTGCAAATTTTACATATTTTGTTATTGCCTGAACATTGTTATTGGTATTTATGTCTAATCATTTATTATATATATCTATCTATATAGATTTATATATAGATATATATTGTTATATTCTATTCCTATTATATTTTGTTTCATAGGCCCATCTCCCATTTGCTGTAGTCGGGAGCACAGAAGAAGTAAAGGTTGGGAATAAGCTGGTGAGAGCCAGACAATACCCGTGGGGTGTTGTTCAAGGTATGTGTGAATGTAAAAATGTTTTGTTCTTGTAACTATTTAAACTTGTTTTATGATTAGAAATTGTTCAGTAAAAAAATTTAAATTCTATTCAGAACTTTGAAGAGTTGTCGTTTATAAATTTGCTGTCCTGTATTTGGACAGGAGAGACCATGGCTGCTCCTGCAAGATTGACCTTGTTCAGTGAGTGGTAAATCCTGCACTGAGAAAATATGGAGGCTACTGCTGCCTGACCTGTCCACCTACAGGTGTCTTTTAAATGGCACGAACTTCAGTGATCATAGTTTGCAGCTGCTGTAGGAAAGTATTAATGCACATGGTGGAGTCCCTTATTACATGCATTGTCGGATGAGCCAGATCATCCTCTAGAGCCTTGGTTCTCAACTGGTGGGTCATGACCCAAAAGTGGGTCGCGGCCAGTGACGTGCGGTACCTCTTGCTCTGGGTGAGGCATCCCCTGCCGGATGAAGCCCCGCCAGATGGAAGCCCCGCCAGATGGAAGCCCCGCCAGATGGAAGCCCCGCCAGATGGAAGCCCCGCCAGATGGAGCCCCGCCCCAACCTAGTGTAAAGGAGGAGACAGGGAGGAGCCTCCCTGTCCCTCACTTGCTCCTCGCTGCTGAGGCGCTCTGTCCATGACTGGTTACACAGCGGTGAGGATTTCCCTGCTGTGTAACCTGTTAGATGCCGATCTGAACGGAGAAAAAGCTGTCCACTTCAGACATGACAGCTTTTTTCTCCATAATTCTAGGTGAGGCTCTGCCTCCCCTGACCGTCCCTGGTTGCAACCCCATGTTCAGTGGGTCGCCGCATTCTTTCCAGTCCACTAGGTGAGAGGCTCCTCAGGCCCCCCATAGCGCAGCACGGTCAGTTCTCATGCCGAGCAGCCATTCAAAATATGCTGCCACTCGCGCGACTAGAGTGACATCACATTCGGGCACCTCTACAGGGAGTGCGAGCTGTACAAGCAATGCACGTATGAATGGAGCTTCAGCACACCAGCCCACACTGAACCCCTAAAATGTTTTAAGAGTGTATATATGTGTGTGTGAGAATGTCTGTCTGTGAGTGTGTGATTGTGTCTGTGGTTATGTCTGTCAGTGTTTTAATCGCACTTTACCACACAATTGCACCTACTGATCGTTCTGGTGCGGGAGGTGCGTTGCGCTGCTATTCACTTGAATGGCACCCCAAACACACCTCCCACCCACAGTTTGATTGCTTACAGAACATGCGGTACTGTAGTGCCGTGCTACTTGGGTCGCAGCTTGGGCCTGGTTCACGCCTGGGCCTTTTACAGCGTGTTCCTACGCTCTGTAAAACGCTCAACATGTGAAAAACAATGATTGCCTATGGGCATGGTTCCCACCTGGGCGTTTTACAGCGTGTAGGAATGTGCTGCAAAACGTCCTACGCCCCAAAAAAATACAGGAGCTTCTTTGGGGTGTATTTGCCACGCGTATCCATTGGGATACAGCCAGGTAGCCCTCGGAAACGCGCGTTTGTTGCGCTGTTTTTGTTTTACCGCGAATCGCGTGTAAAAATGCTCGGCACGAAAAACGTGCAACAAACTCGCATATTCGATACGCCTAGGTGTGAACCCAGCCTTGATGACCATGGACAAATGTGGGTCCTGAGGTTGTAGAAGTTGAGAACCACTGCCGTAGAGGGCTTATTCTCCAAGTGCCCTCATTCTGCATAACATAACTGAAGAGTGCTACATGGCTCAGTCCATTTGTGGTTGGACCCTTGTTTAAAACGTTTTTTGACAGTCCTATCAGAGTTTTGTTCCTGTTATGCATCACTTGTTTGTCAGTTGCAATGAAACCTGTTTGCATATTTGTTTTATAGTGTTTCTAACATCGTTTCTCCCACAGTTGAAAATGAGAGTCACTGTGACTTTGTGAAGCTGAGGGAAATGCTGATCCGGGTCAATATGGAGGATCTCAGGGAACAAACGCACACACGCCATTATGAGTTGTACCGACGCTGCAAACTTGAAGAGATGGGCTTTAAAGACACTGACCCAGACAACCAGCCCTTTAGGTAGATACAAGAGAGATAGAAATTTTATGTTGATCGTGTTAAAATAGTTTTTACACTTTTAAGTAGAGGTGCACCGAAATGGAAATTTTAAAACCGAAATATAAAAAAGTCAGGCCGAAACCAATACCGAAAATGTTTTTTATTTTAATTTTTTTTAAATATTTTATTTTTATTTTATTTTTTATAAACTTTTTTTAATTTTTTTGTTTTTTATATTTTTATTTCATTTTTTATTAAATATTTTTATTTTTTACATTAGTTTGGGGAAATATTAGGGGTCTAAACAGACCCCTGATATTTCCCTTTTAAAATGGAAAAAGAGATTGAGGACACAGAGTCCTCAATCTCTTTTTTCTGTGTCCCCTGTTATCAATGAACAGGAATCCTCTGAGTGTCCCTGTTCATTGATAACATGAGAACATTGTTTACTATAACCACAATTATGAATGAACAGGATGTGATGTAGATCATTTCCCATTCATTCATAATTGAGGATACAGTAACCATACCATGTCCTCAATTATGTACAAACACTCAGCGATCACTGATCACTGAGTGTGTGTACCTTGCTTTTCTCTCTGACACGCTGTCACAGGAGGCTGATAGAGCGGGGTAGGGAGGAAAGCCCAGACTGATAGGCGGCTGAGCGATGTGGGAGGAGACGCAGGCCGCTCACTGCGCTCTCCTTTCGCAGCGCTCGGCCGGCTATTACTGTTTCTCTTCTCCCGGCTGGGACACAGAGCAGCGCCCAGCTGTACAAATCACATCCTTTTACTTGAATTTTGCTACAAGATCATATAGTATAAGACCCGGATAGTGCATACAGTATAATACAAAACCATTGCAGGGAAAGGATAACAGATTTAGAATGTATCTAGCAACTGTGCAGTTCTACATTATGTACTGATCTGTATAATGCTAACTGTAACAGCTGAGCTCCCATTGTATTTTTAATATGAAATTTAAAGAGGACCTTTTACTGCTAGTCCCCCACCCTGAACTGAAATGGTGTTAAAAAAATTAGTTAAAGGAGAACTTTGAGGTTAGGGCTTTTCCCCATAGTTCTCCTCAGGGTAACGGGAGGACACAAACTAGCGTCCTCCCGTCACCCTAAGCTCAGTATACCACGAGCTACAGCTCACGGTATACTGAGACGCCGCAGCCTGAGCGGATCCCGACATCGATGGCTCTGCCTATCTAGAGGCAGAGCCAGCTGTACCCGCCCCCTCCCCCGTCCGTTCCGCCAGTCAGCGCTGGCGGATCAGAGCGGGGAGGGGGGAATCCAGCCCCTCCCCTGTCACGGCAGAGAGCCGTGACAGGATCGAGAAGTGAGCGAACACCGGCATGTGTTCGCTCACCTCCCGATCTACTGAGCCGACCTGTGACAGTCTCATTGTCACAGGTCGGTTAGAACTATGAGGTGAGTGAAAAGTACTCGCCTCATAGTTCTCCTTTTTAAAAGTAAACATTTCACCCCCCCAAAAAAAAGACATTGCCCTCCGCTTCTGACACTTCCAGGAGGCATAGGTGACGTCACTGTGTCTCATCGTTGCCTCGCGGGAAAGGTGGGTGCTCGATATCCCGCAAGAATGCAGTCCTGTAACTGGCTGGAGTGCATTGTCAGGGTATTTTTGAGCCCCCAGATTTCCTGTGAGGCACAGTGATGTCACCCAGGGCACTTTGGACCCCAGTATAGCATAATATAAATCAGCTCTGCTTTGCTGTATATGTTAGGAATGTTACTAGGTCAGCCGTTAGGACGTGTGTGTGTGTGTGTGTGTACTTTCTTTGATAAGTCTGGTGCTATCAGTCTTCAGGAGACGTATGAAGCTAAAAGAAAAGAGTTTCTGGAGGACCTGCATCGGAAAGAGGAAGAAATGCGGCAGATGTTTGTCAACAGAGTGAAGGAGACAGAATCTGAGCTGAAGGAAAAGGAGAGGGAAGTAAGTGCTTCTTTCTAATTTGGTATAAGAAATGCAATTTGTTGGGCCTTTGTAAATGATATTGACTGTTGTATGTAGTGTCATGTATAGTCTGCATATCATCCCTATAGCAGGGATGAATGAAAGTTAGATCCTGATTGGTTGCTATAGACACCAACAAGGCATTGTATCATGTGAACAGTAATCTAACCCCTCTGCTCAGCATGGTGACCCCTTTCATTCATACCTTGCCCTGACCTCAACTCTGATCTTGGAAGAACACTAACATGGTGGGAGGGAGTCCAGTGTTGAGCTGTTTTCTGAGCCATTACCAAAATAAGCAAAGTGGATAAAGGCAAAAATAACAGGAAAGACACTAATAACCATGATATAACCACAAATTCAGCTAAAGAGAAAAAAAACATGTACAGATATAACTGAAAGTAATTGTTTCAGTTATGTATGTGTCATTTAAAAAAATATGTAGGCATTACCGCCATCATAGTGTTTGTTTTAGAATGCATAACTTGAATATACAGAACCAGTAATAAAACATGATACACACCAGATTTCAATTCTAAGATCGCAGACATTGCCTTGAGAAATGAAGTGATGTGTCTTTGCTCATGAATATTGTTGCAAGCTTTGAGAACATATCTTTCTGTGTTGTAGCTTCAAGAGAAGTTTGCACATCTGAAGAGGGTACACCAAGATGAGAACAGAAAGCTGGAGGAGAAGAGGAAGGAGTTGGAGGAGGAGATGAACTCCTTCAACAGGCGGAAGATGGCAGTAGAATCATTGCAGCCTCAGGCATACCAAGCATCTTCTCAGCAGCCTTTAAAGAAGGATAAAGACAGAAAAAAGTAAGTGTTTATGTTCCTACCACCGTTTTACTGGAATATTTCCATCCCTATGGTACTGCACAATGCAGATAGGAGGAAGACTTGAATTTCTGTGCAAAGCTAGATGTAGGCACAGCAGAACAGTCCATTGTCCTGGCAGCACCAAACCTTACATAGAAGTCCTACTAAAGGCTAGAGGTGCCTACTGCTTCCATATACATGGCCAAATTCTACAATTCTTTATTATTCATGTCTATTGCCAGCTTTGCATAGTATGGCACTGCTTTATTACAACAGAAGACGTCACTTTCATCACAAATCCAAAATATATTTCTGAAAGCAGTTGGATACATTTCTCTATATCTAGGTTCCACCCATACTCTAAATATTCAATTTTGGATGCAGAGTTAAGCCAAGGAAGGTGCTATTGCCTGTATTTGGATTGCATTCGCCATGGTGCTGTACGTTATCCGCTATAACACCAGCCATTCGAAGACTTGAGAGCTGAAATAAACACACTGGCAATAGTGACACTTACTTTCAAGATCTGCCTCTAATGATATCTCTTGGGAGACAGCTAGGGCTCTTTCACACGTGTGTGATCAGGCATTAGAGAAGCGTTTTTAATGCCTCTCTGCCGCCTATTAACGCTCCTGTGGGATAATGCAATAGTAACCGCCCAGTGCTGTGTTGCTGTGTGTTAAAAAAATAGAGTGCATGTCACATTCTGGAGGCATTGCCGCTGAAAAAATGCCTCAATTGAAGTACATTGAAACGCCCCTCAAATGTTCAGTCAGTGCTCCTATAGCTTTTTTTGGGCATTTAAGAAGCAATCCACAGGTGCTTTAGGAGAGGGATATGAGGTTTTGCATTACCAGAAACCACTGGAGAATCAGAGAGTAAGTGGACAGAGCAGGTGCAGATGCCACTTCCTGTCTGCACACAGCCAGCAAGAGGACAGCTTCTAGCCAGGTACTTGTAACCTGTGACAGCCTGACCTATGCCACCCTGTAGTGCCAGCTGTTATCAGGGTCATCCAAAGCAGTGCCAGCCATACCATTGCCAGGCATTGCAAGTACCAGTCAGAACCTGTTGTATCTGAAATATATTTTACAGGGCTAATTGAAGCAGTTGAGCAATACCCAGAACTGTATGACCCAAGTCTGCCCAGCTACTGCAACACATTAAGAAAATAGAAGTGTGGCCACTGCTGGTCACTTCCCTTTACTACATCACTTTACCCTTTAACACACTCCCCTACTTGTAGAGCATTTTGTAAGCGTTACTGATGCCTCCCTAATGCCTTGAAAATGACAGCTGCCTCCTAATTTTTGAATTTTTCTCTAGTCTAGTCTTGGAGCTCAAAAGTATCGGTACATGTACCGAGTACTGTACTTGGTGTATGTGTATATATATATATATATTGTAG